TTGCTCCCCGTCTCCCTGGTCTGCTGGCTCCCCCAGCAGACCAGGGAGACAGGGAGCAACTTTTCTCCCCCCGGAGGAGGCGGGCAACGGGACCAGGCGTCCCGCCGCTCCAGTCCTCCGGGGCGAGAAAAATCCCCGTTCGTAACTGCGGATCCGACATAAGTCGGATCCGCGTAACTTGGGGACTGCCTGTACTATAAGGCTGACTTTCCCTTTAGTAGATTCTTCCTCCAGTTGTATAATATATTTATATTTACAGTCCAAAGGCGTTTCTGTTTTCTCTATTTTCACAACATTGAAGAGCTAGCTTCACCCACTACCCAGTCTCTGTACACTGCTTCCTCTTTCATACAACACAATGGGGAGAATAACACTTTGAGAATTATGAAGAGGTTTTGTTATAATAACAAGAATAATTAGAATAGAATTCTAAGCCAAAGTGTAGTAGTCTCATGTCATAAGACTCAAAAGAACAATCAGTAGCTCATTCACTGCTGTGGAGTATTTTAATACACATTTTTCAAGTGGCTTCTTTTATGAGACTTTTTGTTTGCATAACTTTGTGGCACAGAGCCTAGGCTCTGTTTTCTAAGGCTCTCTGCTCCTTCCTTGGCACTGGCACAAGCATTTTAAATGATTTCTGAACAGCAACTACATTTGCAGAGCTTGAGGGGGCAAATTCAGCTTCCAATTATACATAATATTATCTCTGCTGCTGTTCATTCCACTAACACCCACCTGTATCTTACATGTTTGTATCTAGTTTACTAGTAAGTTGTATGGTTATATATTGTAAAAGACTGCATTATTCCTTCTGTTTCTTAAGAAATGTTTCTGAATTACAAGAAACAACATAGTACCTAGGGAAGATTTTTTTGGGTAAACAGAAATTCAGAAACAACAAATATAATGCATTACTATTGTACTAAACTAGTTACTTACCCTACTTTTTAGGTGTCACTGTAAAAGGATGCAATTAAAATAGAAGCAAATGCTTACTTTATTTTGCTACCACAGGTCAATACCTACTGACACATTATCTTTGAAATAAAATTCCCTCTGATCAGTTACTCTCAACACAGTCATACAAGAACAAAAAATGGTCTCTGTACTGGAGCATCATTATTACTTTTCTTCCCCCAACTAATCTCTCCTCTCCTGTTTTGCTTCCATGTCCAAGCTCTCAGTTCTTGGATCACCTCACAGCAGTGACTCAGGAATAAAGAGCTGTCTACCTGAAGCAGAATACATTTCGCTCGATCCAAAGCCCACTGGAGCCAATGGAAAGACAGCTACTGACTTTGTTGGACTTTGTATCAAACACCATTTCCTCAACTTGCTCATCCTCCAGGGGTTTATCCATTACAATCCACTTCTGCATCCAAATCACATTGTAAAGGTGAGTCACACGATTATTTAAGAACCCTAAAGAAAAAGTAGGCGAAGTAATATCTTTTATTGGCCCAACTTCTGTTGATGAAAGAGATGAGTAGGTCCAATAAAAAAAAAATGTACCTCACCCACCCTATTAACCTGGTACCAACACAACTAAAACATTACAAACTTTAAAAAGTCAGATAAGCTTGCTATGCACTGAAATACTAATTTAGCCAATGCATATTACTTTAGGAGTGACATACAGTCATTAATACTCAACCTCATTGTTTTCAAAGAAATTGTAAGAGATATTGAACATACAAATACTGACCTTGTTTCTTTTAACCCTTCTTTTTGAATTACTTCCAGTATTTGCTTTGCGGTCATTGGGGAGTTGGGGTGTTTTTCCAATGCCTAAAAAGAAATAATATATATGTGTAAATAAGATAAAACCATTCTGTGACTGAAAAGTTCACATGTTCATGCACGTTTTGCCTAATTATTTTTGGAGGGGGAACTGCAGCGTTGAGACTGGAGTCCTCCGTCTGTTGGAAGGCCAGATATAGTCCAGGACTCTGCAGAAAAAGGAAGATTTACTTGCTGCTTGTGTGCATCATCTGCTAAAATGCATGGAAATATTCTTCCAAAGATACAAAATAAACTAAAAAGAGTTAAAATATGAAACCTATTTGAGAAGACCAATAATGCAGTATAGTTTCTCAGAGGCACAAAAACAAAACAAAAAAAGTGTGATTAGAGAGTGCTGGTTTTGCTCACTACTTTAAAACAGTCTGAGGTGACTGAAGTACTGCGCTTACATTTTGTGATGACCTCAGACACAAAAAAAGGCTAAAATCTGTTTGCAAAGGAGGAGCCACTGTCAGAAGTGACATGATAGGTTTCAAATTTTAAATGCTTTTTGTTTTTAAAAACAATGAAAAATTAAGTGGCCAAGACAGTCACAGAAGCACACAAGATGCCACATGACTCAGAGTGCAGTATGTTTTCCAGTTCAGCTCAGTTTTCCACTCCTTTGCCTTTTCCAATTGAGCCCAAATTAATCCATTCCTCATCCCAATTCAGACAAATTGGCATGAATTTTCTAGTTTTTCGTTTTGTATCCCCTTTCCATTTGAACCATTTAACTCTTTCTGCCATTCTTTTGCTCAGGTAAAGTGCCAAATTGACAGCCCTAGAAACTGAAATCCTTTATCCACAGAAAAGGTACAGCATAGACAATGGCAATGCAAGCTTCCCCACAGTGTCTTTCCAACACGACTCAGTAACAACTTGCACTTCCACCTCTGGCAAACAAGAAATGAGTTTGGTCTCCATGCTCATTCGATCCTTTGCCTCTCTTTACTAGTTACCAATTAACGCCAATTGTGATGGTAGCTACTATAGGGACACCTGTCCAATAGGAAGTAGAGATATACCACCAAAACATATCACATAAGTCACCAAAGATTGGATGGTGAATATTTTCAATCATTACTAGCCAGGACTGTAATTCAAGCAGGTGACCTAAAGGAATCAGTCTCCAGCCCATCCACCAATCCCTTGAGCTCCTCCCAGGCCTCTCCTGCCATTTTACAGTTCTGGTAGCTTCCTGTTCTCCTCTTTTCAATTCAGAACACTATTTACCAAATCCCTTGCTCCATATTGTTTGCCAGACAAGCTTCTTATTCTTTACTGTTTAGTTCTACAAAAGAAAAATGCAGAAACAAGGGCTGCACTAGAAAGGTTTAGGAGCAGAACTGAGCTTTTAACAATGTGTATGTAAAGAGGAAAGAATATACATGGAACTTGCAGGAAAGGAAAACGGAATGGTGACCTGAAAGGGGGAATTAGGGAAGAAAGTAATTAAGAGGCAAAAAGGGACCAATGAAGAGCTTGGAAAGAGATTATTACAAGGGAGAGAAAAGGAACTACAGACAAAACAGGAAGTAGCAGAAACGGAACAGTGATTCACTGAAAAGAGGACAATGTGAGTGAAGATTAAGATTAGAATGATGGAGATTAACAACATCCAGAGACAAAGGAAAATATAACCTTTGGAGTAAGGAAGAGAGGAAACTTAACAGAATAAGATAAAATAAATCAATATGCAGTAAAATGGAGGGGAAAGAGGGAAACTGAACTGAACTGGGAACACTCCAGAGGGCGAACTGGGTAAAACTGGAAAGGGCAGAAGAGGACACTACACTGTACTGAACATGGCTATGAAGGAAACTGGGTGCACTTGAAAGTGGGGTTACTCACTGTGGAGGATTCCCTGTTTCTCTTCCTGAGTACAGGCCCCTCAGCACACCTGGGCAGCTCCTCCCTGCAATTGAGAAAATTTGGGTAGCCCTGTCCCCTTCTCTATGACATCACATCCTACTCTATTAAGGAAGTAAAAGTGCCAAGTATTACAGCGTGAAATTGATGACAGTCGGAAGGAAACAATAAAGCTATGCAAAACATCAAAAAATCACCCTGTCTGGGGAAGCGGGAAAAGGGAGGGCAGTATGTGCTGAGGAAGCTGCACTGAACGGATTGTGGAAACAATGGCTATACACATAGATACAGATGATCATCTTTACAAAACAAAACAAAAATATGAAACTGACAAAGCAATTTGTATAACGCTACAGAGATTTTAATCAAACCCACAAGGCAGCTTTTAAATACCACAATATGAAGCAAATACATTCTGAATATAATGACGTACTAAAATTGAGAGTGTGTGAGAAAGGCTAAATGTGTTGAAATGAAAAATGGCACATTGTGTGAAAGGGTTTCATCACTGGATACATAGTGTGGGCTGTGGTTCCATATATCCTGACAAGTATAACTGTATTCATGTAACCATTTAGAACAGATAGATAGTATATATGTCTGTACACACACATACTACAAAAGTTACCTTAGGTGAAGAGCAAAGATTTATTGATTTAAAATACTATTGAATGAGAAGTCAGCCATATATATA